GTCTCTCTCTCTCTCTCAGGAAATCCTCAACTTCATCAACAGGAAGGAGTTCGAGCCATTGTTGAAGGTGGACCAGCTGAATCTGGAGAGAGAGAAGAACAAGGTCTTCCTTCGCTTCGGTGCGGCTCACCTCTGACTCTACGTGTGTGTGTGCGTCTGTGTGTGTGTGTGTCTGTATGTCTGTCTGTTTTTGTACAGCCTTTAATTTGTGTTATTTAAAAACCTTTGCAATAGTAAGAATCTCAGGTATTTAACATATTAATTATATATCTTATTGTTAACACTTTTAATATTATTTAATAAATGATCATTGAACAGTTGTTTAGTTATGAACTAATGTTAACAAAGATTAATAAGTACTGTTTATTAATTAATTGATTAATTACTGAAAGCCTGGACGTATTCTGTGAGAAATATAACTTCATATTCAAGTATGGACAGTTTTTATCATCATTTCTACTGTTTCGTGTTTTAAACGCATGTTTGTTCTAGAGTTTTTCCTGTAGATTATCTAAACATGCCTTTGAGATGTGTGTCTCTTGGCTCATCAACACTTTCTATCCTGTGTGTGTGTGTGTGTGTGTGTCCAGCGGAGGAGGAGATCACCTACCCCCCCACGTACCGTTACGAGCGCGGCTCGCGGGACACGTACGTCTGGCAGAAGCAGAAAGCCACCGGGGTAAATCATTCACATCACACTAACACAGATCTTACAGGGATAGTTCACACAAATATGAAAATTAGAAATTATATTATATGTTTAAATTATAAATAAAATCATATTAATAAATGTTCTTGCTCTTCCAAGCCATAAAACTGCAGAAGGGCTGGTAAAATGCCATTGCTGTGAACTTTGAGCGTTGTAACTTTGATACTGTTGTTTATGCTCAAACAGCGACACTACACACTAACTACAGTTAGAAAAGTGAAATCATACTTTACCACCCCTTGAATATATAACTCTGATTGTGTGTGTCTGAAAGAAGAGTGTCCATACACACCTAGGATGTGTAAATCAGTATAATTTTCATTTTCGGGTGAACTATCCCTATAAAGAAGCTCACATTCATGAAAGACGAGTCCTGAGGCGGCTACTTCCTGTCACCTGACCTTTGCCACAGGAAGTGAAGCGTCCTGCATTCCTTAATGCCTCCTGCGTTCCTTCTCTCTCGTCTCTCAGATGCGGACCAACGTTCCCTCGTGGTGCGACAGAATCCTCTGGAAATCGTATCCTGAGACGCACATCGTCTGCAACTCGTACGGTACGCCGTTCGCTAATGCCTTACCCATAAAAGTGTTTATTCAATATCATCAAAAATATGAGTTTCCACTGAAATCTAAAGCAGCGTGACTGTGTTCAACACTGATAATAATCATAACTGTGTGTTGATCATCAGATCCTCATATTAGAGTGATTTGTGAAGGGTCATGTGACACTGAAGACTGGAGTAATGATGATAAATTCAGCTTTGATCACAGGAATAAATTACATTTTACTGTATATTCACATAGACAACAGATGATTTACATTACAATAATATTTCATAATTTTATTTATTTTATTTTATTTTTTTCATAATAATTTCAAAACTAATTTTAAAATTAGTTTATATTTCTATATATATATATATATATATATTTATCATTTATATATATATATATATATATATATATATAAAATCATCATTATTATTATGTTATTATAACACTCTTGTATTTTAGTTTTCCATTAAGTAGAAAAATCCTCATTTGTTTTCGCATTTTCACTGAAAAATGTGGACAGAAGTCATTCTAAATACAAATATTTTAGTAGAAATATCTTTCATTATATAAATCAATATAAATCATAATATACACACACGTATATAATCGTCAAATAAATAAATGTCATTATTACCGAGCACTTTTAATTTTTGAGCACTTTTACTGTTGCTGACTTAAATTGTCATCAAAAAAACATGCATTGCTTATTTTTTCTGGATTTATTTTTTTTGCATTAAACAATAAAACTTGTTGTTGGCGTTGGTGGATCAGCGTGAAGGAACCATTTCATAGTAAATGCAGATTCAGTCTCACAATCTGAGATGATAAAAGTGTGTAATAAAATCCAGTGCCATTTTGGCAGTTATTGAGGCTGATTTGCATCAGATGAATATGTAAATAATGTGTGCGTGTGTGTGTGTGTGTCAGGCTGTACAGATGATATCGTCACCAGTGATCACTCTCCTGTGTTCGGCACGTTCGAGGTTGGCGTGACGTCTCAGTTCGTCTCTAAGAAAGGTACGGTGTGTGTGTGTGATCAGTGTGTTGCTTGTCTCTAAGGTACGGTGTGTGTGTGATCAGAGTGTTTTCGCTGTGGTCTCTGAGATGCTCTTCCTCCTCAGGTCTGCCCAAGTCTTCAGAACAAGCGTACATCGAGTTCGAGAACATCGAGGCCATCGTGAAGACCGCCAGCAGGACCAAGTTCTTCATCGAGTTCTACTCCACGTGTCTGGAGGGTGAGTGAAGATCATCATCACCATCATCATCATCATCACGGACAATCTGAGCGAGCAAATATTCATCACACTTTCACAGGGATTTTAGCGATCAAAATAGTATAATAAATAAAGAATTATATATTTGTATAGTAAATATACTATATATGTAAATATATATGCAAATAATATTCATACTTAGCAAATATTTGGTAATAGTTTCTGTGAATCAGTTCAAACTGTTTTGATGAATTGATTCACTGATTTGTTCTGAAAAAATCATTGAAAATATGAACGTCATTTAAAAATATTAAAGTGTTTTACAAAAAATATGCAATTAACTGTTGCAATAAGTATTGATGTTTATTACTGTGTATTTTTATATTAGTGCATATAAATCAATGTATTTAAAAATTATTTTATATTATTTATTCTTATAATAAAAATTACAATGTTTTAGTAGAAATATCTAATTAAATATTGCATTAAATATGCACTTTAATCATGCATTGTTACATTAATATAATTCAATATTTGTGTAGTCACTTAAAAATGTTGTTTAAATATATTAAAATGTTTTTAAATAAAAATACGCAAATATATATTGCATTAAATATGCAACTATTGATGTTTATTACTATGCATTGTTATATTGGTGCATAAAAAATATATAATTAAATATTATTGTTTATTAAATTCATCACTGAAAAATGTTGATAAAAGTAATTCTAAAGATATTAAAATATAAAATAATTAAAAAATGCATTGTAATAAACATCAATAGTTGCATATTTAATTGTTGCATAAAGAATGAAATATTCTTCCACGGGTTAATCTGTCAGAAACGTCCCTTGAGCTTTTTAACTGGACTTTTACTTGTGCACGTCCAGGATGAACCCATCTGGGTGAAAAACGTTAGTCTACCACACTATTGACTGTGTTTTACTAATGTATAAACGTCTCGTGTGTGTGTTTAGAGTTTAAGAAGAGCTATGAGAACGACACTCAGAGCAGTGATAACGTGAACTTCCTGCGCGTGGGCTGGTCGTCCAAACAGCTGACGACACTGAAGCCCATCTTATCCGACATCGAGTACCTGCAGGACCAGCACCTGCTGCTCACCGTCAAGTCTCTGGATGGATACGAGTCATACGGTGTGTGTGTGTGTGTGTGTGTGTGACATCACATCTGCTGCACTTTCTGTACAGCTGCTTATTGTGAAAGCGCTATACATATAAATGTGAATTGAATTGAATCACATCAGGTGCTCTTCACGTGTCGGTCAAAAATGATCGGAATTTTTGTTTCGATAATGGTTTTAATTCAATATTTTGTACTTTTTGTGGATTTAATGGTACTGAATTAAATGTACGCTGTATTTATAATCCATGTATTCACTTTTTGAGCGTAGACATGAAATTGTCGCAGACGTTTTGCGTTTGATCTCTTTTCAAACTCATTGCAGAAGCAAAAACCCTTTAAAAAATTCAACTTAAAAAAAACATTACAGAATTTTAGGTTTATTGTAATTAAAAATGTGCAAAAATTTGATATGAAATGTATATTTTCAAAAACATTATTAATATAAAACTGTAAGAAAATAAATCTAAAGAAGTTGTGTTCCACATGTGAGTCTGATCTCTCAGTAAACGAGTGTGAGTGTGTGTTCGGCTGCAGTACTGAACGCTTCCACTAGAGGAAACTCATTCGTTTACAATGTACAAACATATGGGACTATTTGTTACAGGATGATTTAACCTGTTCGAGTCATGTCCATGATTTGTGTTCACCCAGCAAGTGCCAAAACCTTTACCAAGTCACCATTCTGATGAAGTAAAAAAAAAAAAAAGTCAAATTTTTCAGAGCCTTGCTCTTCAGACTGTATGAAGTTTCAGAAACTATTGCAGCGCCATCTTGTGGTCGTGCTGAGAATACAGTCTCGACTCCTGCTGTATGATGATCTGTATTCTGATGAAGCACTCTGCCTTTCTCCGAGTATTGCTGGGTTTGTTAAATTAAATTACTCTTAAATTAAATTAAATCGCTTGTGTTAGTCAAGGTTTCTTGGAACAAAAAAACAAGACATTTTTCTAGTTTCAGAAAATAGACTTATCCATAAAGAGGATTTATGTATTGTTTTGCATGCATTTCTAATGTGTGTGTGCAGGGGAGTGTGTGTTGGCGCTGAAGTCGATGATTGGCAGCACGGCGCAGCAGTTTCACACGTATCTCTCTCACCGCGGCGAGGAAACGGGAAACATCCGCGGATCCATGAGAGTCAGAGTCCCGTCAGAGAGGATGGGGACCAGAGAGAGACTCTACGGTACTGAGAGTGTGTGTGTGTGTGTGTGTGTGTGTGTATGTGTGAGTGAGTGAGTACATGAGTGAGTGAGTGAGTATATGAGTGAGTGAGTGAGTGAGTGAGTCAGTGAGTGAGTGAGTGAGTACATGAGTGAGTGAGTGAGTCAGTGAGTGAGTACATGAGTGAATGAATACATGAGTGAGTGAGTACATGAGTGAGTGAGTACATTAATGAGTGAGTGAGTACATGAGTGAGAGTACATGAGTGAGTGAGTGAGTGTGTACATGAATGAGTGAATACATGAGTGAGTACATGAGTGAGTGAGTATATGAGTCAGTACATGAGTGAGTGAGTACATGAGTGTGTGAGTGAGTGAGTGAGTGAGTAAGTACATGAGTGAGTGAGTGAGTATATGAGTGAGTGAGTGAGTACATGTATGAGTGAGTGTGTGAGTACATGTATGAGTGAGTGTGTGAGTGAGTACATGCGTGAGTATATGTGTGAGTGAGTGTGTGAGTGAGTACATGAGTGAGTATATGTGTGAGTGAGTACATGAGTGAGTGAGTGAGTACATGTATGAGTGAGTGTGTGAGTGAGTACATGAGTGAGTATATGTGTGAGTGAGTGTGTGAGTGAGTACATGAGTGAGTGAGTGAGTATATGTATGAGTGAGTGTGTGAGTGAGTACATGAGTGAGTATATGTGTGAGTGAGTATATGAGTATCTCTCTCTCTCTCTCTCTCTGGTCTTCAGAGTGGATCAGTGTTGATAAGGACGAGACTGGCGGATCGAGAGGCAGAACTCTTCCTCCCAGAGCCACACACGATTACGTCAAGTGAGTTCACGTTGAAACATTCATTTCTTAACATGATTATTGTTTCTGTAAGCGGCCCAGTGAAGTGAGTGTTTCATTCTGGTCCTGTAGACCGTCCACCAGCAGGAAGTTAGGGTCAGCTGACCTCGGGAAGGTTTCAGAGGAGGGAGACAAGAGCATCACAGGGAGAAACACACACACACACTCCTTTAAAGAGGACAGCGCACAGAACAGGTGGATACACACACACACACACACAATCTCTCACACACCCTCACATGGTTCTACTCACCGATATTAACCCTGACTGTTGTTGGTTTATCAGACTCAAACAGGACCCATTTGATGGCGACGCCACAACCTGCAAGAACAGCTTCAATAACCCCGCCTACTACATTCTCGAGGGCGTTCCCAACCAATCAGCAGTCCTGGCCACCGAACAGCTCCCAGGCTCCGCCCTCCCTCCACTAGCCAATAAAACAGCAGCTCCTGTGGGGAAGAACAAGCCTCCCAGTGGGAGTTCGGCTGCGGGCCGCTGGCACCCGGTTCGGCCAATCAGCGAAGAGGGATCTTCGGAAGACGACGGGAACGTCGGGACTCACGTCGCGTCACTCAATCGCCCTCCGCCAGATTTCCCTCCTCCCCCGCTTCCCAAAGAAATCCCTGAAAACTCATTCGGAAAACCGCGAATGTTTCCGGACCTCGCCGACGTCAAGATCCCGTCCAAACCGCTGTTGTCTCCCTCTGGGGGAGGAGGCGTGGCCTTCTGTCTGGAGGCTCCGCCCATATTGAACCCTAGCTCTGCCCCTTTCCGCCGAGGAGGCGGAGCTTCTGCACTAGATGACCAGTCGTGTTCCGTTCTACAAATGGCGAAGACGCTGAGCGAAGTGGAGTATCCGTCCGGGAGAGAAAGGGGCGGAGTCGGGAAAGAAAGGGGCGGAGTCGGGAAAGGGGCGGCGTCTTCTCACATGAGAGGCTTGACTTTCCCACCGCGATCCATACAGGAGGAGAGCATTGCTGAAGACCTGCCAGAGGAGGTGAGACACACACACACACACACCAGATGATGCCATTTTCTCAGGTTTGGCCTTTAAAGCAAAAACTTGCTTTATTCCTTTTTTTCTGCTTCTGCATATTATAAAGCCAATTAGATCAATTATGCAGATTAGATTACGCAGCTGTAATTGTATGTGTGTATTGGTGGTGCAGATGTTAGAGTGTGCTTTGAACGTGTGCAATAAAACGAAATGTGTGTGTGTGTGTGCAGGGCCTGTGGCACGACGAGGGCAGCAGTGTGTCAGTAGAGGACAGTGTTGGCGAGTGGCTCCAGAGGCTCGGGCTCCAGCATTATGAGGAAGGGCTTCTGCACAACGGCTGGGACGATCTGGAGTTCCTCAGGTACGAGTCTCTGACACAGTTTAAGTTATTATTATAATATCAAATATTTCATTGACAGTACTGTGTAGTACAGTATTATTACTATAACAAAATGAAATGAGATTTAATTTTTGTAATTTAATAAAATATTAATGGTAAAATATTTAACATTTTAATACAAATATTAAAAGGTGCAAATTGCAAAAGCGCCATAAAAGTATCATAAGCTTTAACAAATGTAGTGAGTCATGCAGCTTTCCAGTTTTTCAATTAGTAATGTATCCTTCCCATGCATTATGTCTATAAAAGTTCATCAGTGTCACATTATTCCGGTGTAAAATATCACAAAACACCTGCTATGTCTCTCAGCTGCTCGGAAACAGCCAATCAGAGTCCAGTGTGATTAAGATTTTCATAATGGTTTAGTTTTATGAAGAATTTGAATTAAGAGCTGGATTGATATACAAAGATGAAACCATCATCCAATCTCGTGTCTTTCCTGCAGTGACATCACAGAGGAGGATCTGGAGGAGGCGGGCATTCGTGACCCCGCCCATAAGAAGATCCTATTGGCCAGTCTAAAACAACAGCAGCAGCAGCAGAAGTGAGCCAATCACAATCCAGACCGGACTGAACTTTGCACTGGTAGAATTTTACCTGGTTTTAATGGTAGTTTGTGATATTATTTAAACAAGTCAATGTGTCAAAAGGATGTTTCACTACAGCCCCAACTTCCTGTCGTCTGGAGGAAGTGACATCAGAACATTCCGGAAGTGTTAGTTATTACTATCAGTTTGTTTTTCGTGCATGTTTCGTGACTTTAAAGGAAAGGGAAATAAGCCAAAATCAGCCGTGACTTGAAGCAGTTTGCGCATCCGTGTGTTCGTATGTTCGTGTGTTTGTGTGTCAACCCAAGGGATGTTCGTTTCTCTCGGTTCAGTGCGTCATTTACAATCTCCTCATCCTGCACAGAGGTTTGGTGTGAGTGAGAGATGCTATAACACACTGCTCTCACCAGGTGGCGCTGCACATCATTATCATCATCTGAGATAATTCAAGAGGAAACAGTTCATATATCACATGTGAATCTTTTGCTGATGTGAGATTCAAATGCTGATGAATTTCTAGAAGAGTTGAGTGTGTTTCTCAATCTCAAGATGAGTTTAGTTCTTTTAAATGAAGCGCTCTGTGGAAACGCATGTCTTCATCACAATAGCTTTGTGTGTTTTATTTAACAGACTTTAATGTTATAATATGGGTGTTTCTCCTAAAATGCATGTAGCGGAATTATTCTAGATATCAATTATTTGTGTATTAAGTTTTAACTTAAGAAGTTTTCCCCCTTTCATTCATTTAGTTGCCACATAATCGTTTTTAACAGTTAAACTCAGTCGTTATAAGTTAATATTTGTGTTTGACTGTTAAATGACTGTCCTTTTAATGTTTGTTCTTTTCTTTTGCAGTTTAATAAAAACTACAATTATGTTCAGTACAAGAAAGTGTCTCGTTGAGCTTGAAATAAACATTTTGTATAAAATGTAATATTATTATATAGTCAGCAATATTCATCAGTTTCAGTACATATCTTAAAAGCCATGTTCTCAAAATGAGATTTTTCCTCCACTTCAGCAACACTTCTATTCATATCTATATTCTGAAGAATATTGAGGGGTTTGTTCATATATAATTTCCCTGATTTTATACAACATGTTTTCAATAATTTTCTGGCTGCAGTGGCTGTTGCATATTTTCTGATTTAAAGAATCATAAAAAGAGATATCCAAAATCCCCTCTGTAAAAACACAGAATCCAAAAATTCTCGTGATAGCAGCATCTGTCTGAAAAACAATCTTAACCATTCTATTTCATCAGGGACAATCTTAAAACAGGGCTTTAATTGTAAAATACCGAACTTGTCCTTTAATCTTTTTCCATGAAAAATTATCTTGTGATTCTGAGATAATTAACTCGTTAATTCAGAAAAACAGAGTAGATTTTTTTTCTTCAAGTGAAAGCAATATACTTCTGTAGTTTTTAAACAACACTTCAGAAAACTTGAGATATAAAAAATGACTTTTGACTGTAAAAATTACTCTGACCTGAGTGCAAAAATGGAGGCTCTAGACCCTTCCAGAGCTGAGATATTGAGATCCCAAGAACCCACTATTTTTATATTGGCATAAATGCTATGTGGGATTTCAATATCTCAGCTCAGGAAGGGTCTAGAGACTCCATTTTTGCACCCAGGTCTAAGTCTCATGGCCCTCTATCAGAATCCAGAGTTTCAAGAAGATCAGAGAAACTCAAAATTTCGACCCGAAAAATAACCGAAAGGGGTACCACTGTCGTTTTTTTTTTTCCGAGTCGAAATTTTGAGTTTCTCTGATCTTCTTGAAACTCTGGATTCTGATAGAGGGCGATGAGAATTAGACCTGAGTGCAAAAATGGAGGCTCTAGACCCTTCCAGAGCTGAGATATGGACATCCCGCATAGCATTTATCCCATTATAAATATAGTGGTTTATAATTGGATAAATGCTACGTGGGATTGCAATATCTCAGCTCAGGAAGGGTCCCGAGCCTCCGTTTTTGCACTCAGGTCTAAAGCCTGTTTTATGCTTCTGCGTCGAATCGACGGCGTACCCCCGCAGACCCCTATCCGTCGACGCGAACCCCTCTCCGACCCCTCCGCCGTAGCTCGACGTGCACCTCCAAAAATTTGTAACTACGCGTCGAGGCGACGCAGACAGCAAGGGCTTTGATTGGTCAGATTATACATAATTTCAGGAGTGTAGCTTTTCCGATTTCCCCCTCCCGCTATTAGCGCTATTTTTAACATTTGCACCCTCATTCTGATAATTATAATACTCTTATAAAGAAAGTAAATAAAGAATTAAACTAAAAATAAACTGTTTTAATTTCATTGTTAATATGTCTATATTCTTTTCTTTCTTTTTTGCTCGCAATAACTCAATCAATCAATAATTCAATTATTGCGAAATGCACCGCGATGCACCACAACCTCACGCACAAGTATAAAACGGCCACGACGCCGTAGTAGTGACGACGTAGCTACGCCGTGGAGTTGACGCAGAAGAATAATGAGGCCTTAAGTCTCATCGCCCTCTATCAGAATCCAGAGTTTCAAGAAGATCAGAGAAACTCTTTTTTTTTCCGGTCGAAATTTTGAGTTTCGATATCTCAGCTCTGGAAGGGTCTAGAACCTCCATTTTTGCACTCAGGTCTAAGTCTCACAGCCCTCTATCAGAAAACAGAGTTTCAAGAAGATAAGAGAAACTCAATTTCGACCCAAAAAAAAAAACGACAGTGGTACCCCTTTAATTTTTTTTTTTTCGGGTCAAAATTTTGAGTTTCGATATCTCAGCTCTGGAAGGGGTCTAGAGCAGTGTTTCCCAACCCTGTTCCTGGCGGCACACCAACACTGCGTGTTTTCTTTGTCTCCCTAATCTAAAATACACCTGATTCAACTCATCAGCTCATTAACCCATCTGATTATGAGCTGATGAGTTGAATCAGGTGTGTTTGATAAGGGAGACTAAAAATACACGCAGTGTTGGTGTGCCGCCAGGAACAGGGTTGGGAAACACTGGTCTAGAGCATCCATTTTTGTACTCAGGTCTAAGTCTCATCGCCCTCTATCAGAATCCAGAGTTTCAAGAAGATCAGAGAAACTAAAAATTTCGACCCAAAAAAAAAAAAAAAACGACACCCCTTTCGGTTTTTTTTTAGGTCGAAATTTTGAGTTTCGATATCTCAGCTCTGGAAGGGTCTAGAGCCTCCATTTTTGCACTCAGGTCAAAGTCTCACAGCCCTCTATCATAATCCAGAGTTTTGAGAAGATTGGAGAAACTTAATTTTTCGCCCGAAAATGAAAAAAAACGAAAGGGGTAACACTGTCATTTTTTTTTCGGGTCGAAATTTTGAGTTCCGATATCTCAGCTCTGGAAGGGTCTAGAGCCTCCATTTTGGCACTCAGGTCAAAGTCTCACAGCCCTCTATCATAATCCAGAGTTTTGAGAAGATTGGAGAAACTTAATTTTTCGCCCGAAAATTAAAAAAAAACGAAAGGGGTAACACTGTCGGTTTTTTTTCGGGTCGAAATTTTGAATTTTGATATCTCAGCTCTGAAAGGGTCTAGAGCCTTCATTTTTGCACTCAGGTCAAAGTCTCACAGCCCTCTATCATAATCCAGAGTTTTGAGAAGATTGGAGAAACTTAATTTTTCGCCCGAAAATGAAAAAAAACGAAAGGGGTAACACTGTCGTTTTTTTTTTCGGGTCGAAATTTTGAATTTTGATATCTCAGCTCTGGAAGGGTCTAGAGCCTCCATTTTTGCACTCAGGTCAAAGTCTCACGGCCCTCTATCAGAATCCAGAGTTTTGAGAAGATTGGAGAAACTTAATTTTTCGCCTGAAAATGAAAAAAAACGAAAGGGGTAACACTGTCGTTTTTTTTTTCGGGTCGAAATTTTGAATTTTGATATCTCAGCTCTGGAAGGGTCTAGAGCCTCCATTTTTGCACTCAGGTCAAAGTCTCGCAGCCCTCTATCATAATCCAGAGTTTTGAGAAGATTGGAGAAACTTAATTTTTCGCCCGAAAACGAAAAAAAAACGTAAGGGGTAACACTGTCGTTTTTTTTTCGGGTCGAAATTTTGAGTTTCGATATCTCAGCTCTGGAAGGGTCTAGAGCCTCCATTTTTGCACTCAGGTCAAAGTCTCGCAGCCCTCTATCATAATCCAGAGTTTTGAGAAGATTGGAGAAACTTAATTTTTCGCCCAAAAACGAAAAAAAAACGAAAGGGGTAACACTGTCGTTTTTTTTTTCGGGTCGAAATTTTGAGTTTCGATATCTCAGCTCTGGAAGGGTCTAGAGCCTCCATTTTTGCACTCAGGTCAAAGTCTCACAGCCCTCTATCATAATCCAGAGTTTTGAGAAGATTGGAGAAACTTAATTTTTCGCCCGAAAATGAAAAAAAACGAAAGGGGTAACACTGTCGTTTTTTTTTCGGGTCGAAATTTTGAGTTCCGATATCTCAGCTCTGGAAGGGTCTAGAGCCTCCATTTTTGCACTCAGGTCAAAGTCTCACAGCCCTCTATCATAATCCAGAGTTTTGAGAAGATTGGAGAAACTTAATTTTTCGCCCGAAAATTAAAAAAAAAACGAAAGGGTAACACTGTCGTTTTTTTTTCGGGTCGAAATTTTGAATTTGATATCTCAGCTCTGGAAGGGTCTAGAGCCTCCATTTTTGCACTCAGGTCAAAGTCTCACAGCCCTCTATCATAATCCAGAGTTTTGAGAAGATTGGAGAAACTTAATTTTTCGCCCAAAAATGAAAAAAAACGAAAGGGGTAACACTGTCGTTTTTTTTTCGGGTCGAAATTTTGAATTTTGATATCTCAGCTCTGGAAGGGTCTAGAGCCTCCATTTTTGCACTCAGGTCAAAGTCTCACAGCCCTCTATCAGAATCCAGAGTTTTGAGAAGATTGGAGAAACTTAATTTTTCGCCCGAAAATGAAAAAAAACGAAAGGGGTAACACTGTCGTTTTTTTTTTTCGGGTCGAAATTTTGAATTTTGATATCTCAGCTCTGGAAGGGTCTAGAGCCTCCATTTTTGCACTCAGGTCAAAGTCTCACAGCCCTCTATCATAATCCAGAGTTTTGAGAAGATTGGAGAAACTTAATTTTTCGCCGAAAATGAAAAAAAAAACGTAAGGGGTAACACTGTCGTTTTTTTTTCGGGTCGAAATTTTGAGTTTCGATATCTCAGCTCTGGAAGGGTCTAGAGCCTCCATTTTTGCACTCAGGTCAAAGTCTCACAGCCCTCTATCATAATCCAGAGTTTTGAGAAGATTGGAGAAACTTAATTTTTCGCCCCGAAAATGAAAAAAAAACGTAAGGGGTAACACTGTCGTTTTTTTTTTCGGGTCGAAATTTTGAGTTTCGATATCTCAGCTCTGGAAGGGTCTAGAGCCTCCATTTTTGCACTCAGGTCAAAGTCTCACAGCCCTCTATCATAATCCAGAGTTTTGAGAAGATTGGAGAAACTTAATTTTTCGCCCGAAAATGAAAAAAAACGTAAGGGGTAACACTGTCGTTTTTTTTTCGGGTCGAAATTTTGAGTTTCGATATCTCAGCTCTGGAAGGGTCTAGAGCCTCCATTTTTGCACTCAGGTCAAAGTCTCACAGCCCTCTATCATAATCCAGAGTTTTGAGAAGATTGGAGAAACTTAATTTTTCGCCCGAAAATGAAAAAAAACGTAAGGGGTAACACTGTCGTTTTTTTTTCGGGTCGAAATTTTGAATTTCGATATCTCAGCTCTGGAAGGGTCTAGAGCCTCCATTTTTGCACTCAGGTCAAAGTCTCACAGCCCTCTATCATAATCCAGAGTTTTGAGAAGATTGGAGAAACTTAATTTTTCGCCCGAAAATGAAAAAAAACGTAAGGGGTAACACTGTCGTTTTTTTTTTCGG